AAGCCCTGCGATGTTGTAATTATTGTTTGTGAATTTTCTTCCACCGTGTGTCCCTTGAAGGGCAAGGACTATTTCATTCATTTCATTATGCCCTGGAAAACAGTGAGGTCATTAACATTTATTTGCTACTTACTACACTCCAGGCCCTAGGGTAGCTAACACATGTTACATGGATTTTTCTAATTTAATTTTTACCCTATTAAGTGGCTATCATTATTATTCCCAATTGCAGATATAAAAACTAAGACTCAGAGAGGTTAAGTAACTTCTTTAAGATTATCCAGCTAATACACGATAAAGCAAAGATTTGAACCCAAGCAGCCTGTGCTAGAACTTACACTCTCTTGCATATACTGCCTCTATTTCGACATGTCAAAGAATAAATAAAAAACTGCTTGCTTGATTTACTTGACTAGTTCTCAGTGGATCATTTTATCTATTGAGCTAAGAAGGTGTTAAGAAAACAGATTCTGAATTTGGAAACCATTTCTGTTGAAAGCACCAGTGCATTTTAAGTTATTTGTTTTAAGAAGAATGATATAAAATAAACCTCAACAAAATTATCTTAAGGTGATGAATATCCACAAATTTATCTTCTGAAAAACTTTTAAATTGGTGTAATCTAGGATTACTGGAGAACATTCATAGTAACTACAACAAATAGAAAAATATTTTCTATTATTAAAAATATTACAAAAATATTGTTAAAAACTGGTATTAATGTGTCACCAAAGCCAAAACCAAGCCAAACAAAAAGCAAGAACTAAACAAAGTTAGGCTATGTATTACATCTGCCCTGAAAACCACAAATCAATATATCTAATATTGGAAAAACAGTGACTATAAGAAACTGTGTTGTCTCAATACTAGTAGAGCATTGGGTTTTGAACCCATGAAGAAAAAATTAAATACTGTATTTAAATGTGAAATTTAGTTTTGGGCTTCTGCTTTTGCTTCTGTGTAATTTAGGTTTGAATTTTATTTAATGTGCTCATTTAAACAGAGTCAAATAATCCTACCCCAAAAGAGAAACATTTCTGGCTACTCCCTTGTAAAAAATTGCTTGTTCACGTGTATTTGTTCATTCATACATACAAATAAGTTTATTTTAAATATTTATGTTTGTTCCCATAAAGGTATGTAGGTAGGACTGCTAAGGTTAACAAAAGAACCAATATTTATCGAGTGCTTAAAATGTGCCAGGCACTGTTCTAAGTGGATTACTTCATTTAATTCTTCCAACAGGCCAACTCTAGGAGGTAAACATTATTACTATTAATATCCCCATTCTACAGAGAGAAACGGAGGGAGGAGAAGTCAGGTTCATTGCTCAGGGTCCCATAGCTCAGATTCCAATCCAGGCAGCCAGACCTCAAAGCCTGTTCCCTTACCCACTCAGTTCTCCCCAAGAAACTTCCAAGTAAGTAGAGTAACAGCCACAGTTGAACCTTTCTGTTCCTTTCACATAACAATCATCCCACAAACAGTCATGGAGCGTTGGTCATGCAGAGCACTGTGCTAGAATGGGCATCCACAAGTCCTCCGCACGACGGACTTGGGCTAGAGGAGGGATCCACCTTTCCTGGCTCTGTGAACTTGTGCAGGCTGCCGGTAAAGTGGGGATGGTAATTCTTCAAAGAATAAGGATTAATGAGATCAGTTATGTAGCACAGGATGGCATGTGTAATAACAATAGTAATATTATAGTCCCGGCTCTTGAGACTCTGGAGTGGAAGGAGAGGACGTCATGTCAATAATTACGAAACAGTATAGAACATTCTATAGAGGAGGATCATTCAAATCACAGCAGAGCCTGGAAGGGAGCTGGGTGGGCAGAGAGAGGAGTACGGAGGAAAGAACAAGTAAACGGCAGTTAAATGGAAGAGGGGGTTCCAATTAAAGTCAAGTCTAAGACTTGATGTTTCATAAGTTTATTTTGTGTATTGTGCTTAATGCAAATGCAGATGCTTTGTCATTTGCAGATTAAATAGATAATATTTACTGAGTACCTTCTATGTGCCGGGCACTGCAATAGGATTTTCGTACGTACTGGATATCATTTAATGCTCACAACACTCTGAGGTGTTGACATTTCAGTTAGTTTTGATTAGAGTTTAGTGTTTTTCTGTATTTGAGTAGGGATAATCGTTATCAGGCAGAAGCGCTGATCTACCTGCAATGATCTATAGCCCATGTGGGCTCTCAAGTTTGTGTTTGTGCCATGGATATATACATTTGTATTTGTGTGACACTGTGAGTCACAGAGTGAAAACAATAACTTAATACATTGTGAATTTTGAAAAATTTCACACTAAATGTTTTACATTTACAAAAGCAATAAAGCATAGATTTTCTGTGTCATTTTTTCATCGTTTCTAGCACTAATCTTTCTCCTGGGCTGGAGGTGTCTAACAAATGTGTTCAGGATTTGAAACTCACTTTTCCTTCCTTCTGATACAGAGCAGAATGCCTGCTCTGCTCTCGCTCTCCCCATCTCAGGTGAAGTTGTATCAGCTAGTAACCTACCTAGCCTTCCCTGACAGAAATCTGAGGTTCACTTTCTCCGTCATCGTGTCCTCGACAAGTGGCTCTTCTTGCTGCTAGAGTCTCCAGGCTCACTGCTCCTGCCCACACCCTCCTGACCTCTTGCCTGGTAGACCACTCTCATCCTCCTGCTCTGTCAGTCAGCTACAGTGCCGTTCCAGCCACCATCCTAAAGCACGGGCAGGCTTCCTCCTCCACTGGGAACCTGCGAGTCTCCTTTGTGCCCCGAAGGCCTGGCTGTGATTCCTGGAGCTTCGCCCTCTGGCTCCACCCGACCCACACAGCTCTTCCAGCAACACTGGACCACTTGCCCGGTCCTAGGATTTTGGACCGGATCCTCCCGATTCTGGGGATGTCTCAGGGCCCATCTTCAAATACACAATTCCCATCTGCTTATATTTTCTCCAACCCGTTTTATAGATAGATTCCTGTAAGATTATTATCTGTTCTCTCTGTTTTCTCCTCTGAACTTTCACCAAACTTCAAAAGATTCATGGCTAAGAAATATTAAAAGACTGGAGGGCATCTAAATTTGGATGTCCTGGCATCAGTGGTCCCTTCGCCTGCAGGAGTCAATCTCCACCCCCGCCCTTGCCCGGGCTGCGTGGGTCAGCCTCACAGTGGCCGTGAGCGCCACCCACAGACAGCATGTCCTCATCTGACACTGGGACTTGGGCCATGTTCTCTAGAGCAGTTACAGTTTCTGTTGGAGAGATGAATCACACGGGGTGTCCGTTGGACAACGTAAGTCTGTATATCCACACAGACTTTTTGTTTTTCTTTAGAAGCATGTTATTCTTCAAAGACAACCAGCTTCTGAGTTTTCACAATTCTGAATGTGCTTTATCAAATTTAATAGGTTTCGTTAACAAAAATCACGAACAAAAAGTAAACTATTTTTATATACTATATAAATAAAATTATCATACTGGTATTGGTTAAGATAATAAAAATTCTATTCTCTTCTATTTCGCTAATGTACATAAAGCGTTTATTAGATCGTCCTCAATTTATCTCTGAAGTACATCTGGAGCTTAAAAATAAAAAAAAGGAGAAAATTCAGTTATTAGCATGAGATCAACCATCTGGGAGATGATTTATACAACTTAAATTATTGCTCCCGATACATCAATGCCTATAGGAAAAAATGCCTCGAAAATTTAAGGGAAATATAAAAGTATGATGAAAACTACTTAGGACTGAATGTGTTGTGTTGTGGTTTAATTTACCTGTTTTCAAATTTGTGATCTACCTCAGGTTTGAACCACAGCCTTAGTTGCAATAACAACATGATAAATGAGCTGACTGGTCCAGGGTAGAACATTATCATCATTAATGGCTTTTTTTAAATTAAATTTTGAGTCTGGAAGAACTTCTTAACAGTTGTAGCATGTGTTCATAGATTTGAAAAATACCCCTTTACACCATGGATTGGATAAATGTTCAAATGATTTTCTAATCTAAAAAAGTCACAAGATGATTATTTTTGTCATCTCCCTTTATTAAATAGTCAGCGTGGATATTTGCTAGCAAACTGTCTTCCCACAATTTGAAAAGGAGCACTTTTTAAAAAAAAAAGCAATTTGTTTCTTACTTAAAATTTGAAAGGTAGGGCCAAACTCCAATCCTGTACAGGCCTGTGGGAGTTCTCCCCAGGGTTCTCATCCTATGCAATCTGATAATAATAGATCACTCATTCTTGTTTATTTTAAGACCTCTCCCAGCAAGGTGGGGTTCACGACATAAACGCACTCAGATAAAGCTGTATCATGAACAGAGTATGCAATTGCAAATATAGCACATTATTAAAGAAATTCGTTTATGGTCCTATGAATATAAAATAGCAAGTCAGATGGTTATCTCAGATGTCATCCAACATCCTGGACTGCAACAATGTTCTAGCTACAGTATTAAAATAGAAAAACCTTTGCAGAGCGTTAACCTATCATTACACAGAGTAAATGGCATGGCACTGCCACCTAATTAGCAGTGTGGCTTGCATCTATAAAATGGAATTAGCACACTGCTCCTTTTTTATTATTAGTTTGTGTTTCCAGAAAGGTATGACCTTATCTGTATGGGTCTGTTCATCTATGCCCATCTACAAAGGATTTAATTATATTCTTTTAGTTCTCTACACTAAGGAAATTGAAAACTGCCACTTCAAAATTAAAAATGTAAAGGAAATTAGTGAGCAGATTATTTATGCCACCACCCTTCTTTTTTCAGCGATAAAGAATGGAAACATGTTTAAATAAATAAGGCATAAAATCCTCAGAGAAGAAAATTCTAGGCAAGGAGATCATTACTAGTTGTCTTTTTCTCTTTCCCACATGTATTCTGCAAGTTTCTCTAGTTGTCTTGGGCAGCACTAGTCAGGGGGAAAATGTATCACTACTATAAAATTCCTGAAAGTTATATCACATCAGAGCAGCAGCCGGAAAATATCAACTTACATCTGAGGAAGGTGATTCCAGAACAATGCCGAATCCCACAACGTGGCTGTCCTCCGTGGAGGCACGCTCGGCTGCTTGGACACCAGACTGCTCCGAGGCCACAGCCGTCTTCCTCTCCATTTCTGACGCACTGGGCTTCTGTTTCACAGTAAGAGGTTCAACAGTCTTTGGGAGAACTTTTTTCTTTTTATTTCTCTTGCGTGAGACAGCAGTTCGCTGGGAGCATATAAGGGAAATTGGGGGTTGTTGTCTGTTTTGAGTTCCAACTGTGAACAATAAACAAAAATATGGTACAGGTACTTGTGTCTAACTTAGGGAAACTTATCCCCGGTCTATCTCTGTGATCTATGAACCGAAACTGCAATGTGGCTCACTCAAGGATGAAGCACACCAAAGAAATGTCCCAGTGGACATGAAGGCTTCCAAACGCAGCCTCAGAGCATTTTCAAGTCCTAAAGGCAGAAAAACACCCAGGAGAAAACTTTGCTCCAAATGCCGTGAATCACTACGGTGCATCGCTGCTGCTGGGTTCCACGCAAGGAAAGGATGACCAGCTATGAGAAGACACTGAGCGTGACTTTACTCATGAGACATTTTTAAATAAATGAGAACTCAGGAACTTAAATTTAGGTCCGTGCTTTCTGGTAAGCCCTTTGCAGGAATATTCCTACTGTCACCTGGGGTAAAACTGATCGCTTGCTAACAATCTATAGGTGCCAAGATTGACAAAGATGAGATGATGATCATTTGGTCAAGACTGATTGAAAGAAGCAGTTTGGAATGATTCTGTAATAGGGACCAGTAAGCAGTGGGAAAAGTCAGTTAGTTGGCCCCAGTAACCCCTTCTTCACCAAACACACATTCCACACAACTATCTGCGGAGCACCCTGCTACCTGCTTTCAGATCAGACCACTTCTCCAGACCTTGGTTTTACACAGTTGAAAAAATACAAACAATATAGTTCTGTGCAAATCAAGCAAATCAGCAAGATCTAGAAACAGTCTGAGTTCCAAAGATGAAAAGCACAGTATAAGCATCAAGTTACTCAAACTAAATGTATATTTAAATCCAGGATGGTAAATACAGTTTTCACAGGTGCACTCTGAGAAGTAGTGTTTGTAACCATTAAAAAATGCTGATGGAAAGCATGACTGGAAGGTAGGGCATCATTATTTAAATCCTCACGTATTAACGCAGCTTCCTAAATACGACCACAGGATACACCTGCTTTTTAACAGAAAGACCCTATAAATATAAGCCAAGTGAACACTAAAGGTCTTTAAATGCACATGAACATGGATCACTTTTACTTATTTCCTATCAGTCTGAAAATAAAGAAAATTCACACTTTGATTCTGATATTTTTGGCTGCAGACTGGAAAGCAATTTGTAAGTATTAGGAACAAACATGGCTGCACTACGTAAGAACACAGAGAAGTTTTTAAACCAGTAATTTGCCTGGGTCCCTGGTTCTTGACCTTGGCTGCACATCAGAATCACTCTGGAGTTTAAAAAAAACACTCCGATGCCTTAGCCCCAGCCCAGAGGAAGGGAGTCGGCATCTCCAGGGGTGCAGGCAGAGCTGAGAGCTTCTCCCTGTCTGCGTCCCCGGAGTTAAAGGGGCCACAAAGCAACGATCGTGACGATCTAGGCCATAGGCCTCTCTAAGCCTCATGATTCTAAATTAAAAGTGAAAATGTTTTTGGTTTAAAGAACACAGGGGCTATCTTAAGTTTTTCTTCTCCTTTTGTACATCTAGACACAGCCCAAGCCTCTGGCATCCAGATCTTTACCCTGGATTGTATTCCTTGTCTTCTTAAAATAAAGGTGAAACTTTCTAAATGTAATTTAAGTCTAAGTCTTTAGGCAATAAACCTTAAGTAAATCTTTCTGCAAGACACAAATTTTTTAAGTTTAAGAAAATTAAAGGAGAGCAATTTATTCGGTTTATCCTTTCTGCCAGCCCACAGCTTTGGAATCATTTACCTCCCTAATCTGCAAAGGTTCAGAAAAGAAAACACGGTGACAAAGTGGCATTTACTTAATAGATTCTAAAAGGGCTTCAGTCAGGGATTTAAACGGTTGCGATTTGTAGTTTGCCATTTCAGTAGTAAGGAGCTTAGGTGACAAAATAAATCATTACAATTTCATATGCATATTTCCTTAAGTGCTAAAAAATTCTTCCTTTGAGAAAAGAATCCATACATAATAAAGTAACCTTTCTTCCTGAGCTCCTTGTTTAGGAGATGTTAACACAGGTTATGGTGGTAGAACAAGGTGAGTCCAAATCTTACCGACTTGAGCAAAATGCTTACTGTTTCCTGGGGATAAAACCAAATTTGGTACTTAAAAAGCTGCTACTTTTCAGAAAGTAGCTCATCTTACTTCAATGTGATCTTGGGTGACTGATACATCTAAGGAGGAAGCTTTCTATATCAAAACCATATCACTGAATATTAAAATTTTACTAGAATTCACTAAATGGCACCCAGAACAGTTTCTGAATGATGACCCTCCTGAATCCCATGACAGTGACAGGCGGGAAAGCCAGGCTTGACACGCTGTGCTGTCAACTTTCCTGCCTTACACTGAGATCGAGGAGCAGTTTCCCCTGACAAAATGAAAGCCTTAATGAAATGATTTATTACTTCTTGTACCTGTGACGGAAAAACTGTTTTCCCCCCACTGTGAAGATTAGAAAATATAGTTGCTATAACGAAGGCCTAGACTTCCGACTTCCACGGAGTGTTCCAAGGTCTTTAGGTGACACTAATGAAATAGCTCATGCTTGCATGAAGCCTTACAAAGTTTGTTTACGCTTACTCTCTCATTCTATTTTGAAAACAACCTCCTGAGCTAGATATTAATACTCCATTTATGGATGAGAAATCGGAGGCTCAGAGAAGTCACGCGGCTATAAGAGGAGACCCTGGGTGTCCAATCCCAAACTGCAAACTCACTGCTCCTCTGTCCAACTCGCCCACTGGTGGTGAGAACACAAGAGGAGTCACGTAAATCAAGAAGACAGAATGGGAGGCATCTCTGAGCTTCTGTAACCTGGATGTGGAGAGAAAGCCACAAGCAGAGCCCGGGGCTCAGCATTTCTTGTCTGCTTACGTCCTTGAGCATCTTCAGCAGTGAAGACCAGGCTTCCTAAAGGACTCCTCCACGTGTCACTGTTCCAAAATTTAATTAACTGGCATTGTAAGTGCCAGAACATCACGTGATGACGTATACTGAGTACATGTATGTAAGTACATGAGTTGTATTAGTATGGTTAAAAAATCTATTTATATATAGAAAAAATTAGCCAGGCATGGTGGCATATGTTTGTAGTCCCAGCTACTCAGGAGGGTGAGGCAGTAGGATCGCTTGAGCCCAGGAGTTTGGGGTTGCTGTGAGCTAGGCTGAAGCCACGGCACTCTAGCCCGGGCAACAGAGTGAGACCCTGTCTCGGGGAAAAAAAAAAAAATCTATTTGACTTGCTAAAGGAAAAAGAGGTTGTAGAAAAAGCTAAGAAAATGGATACTAGAAGAAGCACAGCATGACAGCGAGGTGGGAAGAATTCTATGATAAAAGCACAACGAACATCCCAACTAAAGACGTCAGATATGCATTAAAACTCAAAGGACTCATTCTGAGGCCCGATCTTTGTACCTGCTTGAATTTGCATTAATTTCCTCATGGTCTTGAGTTCTTGGAGAATGGCCTGCAACGTTGACTGGCAGTTACAAGTGCAGCAGTTGGATCCAACTGATGAATTCACCGCTGGAAGTTCTCCTGAGCATGAAAGAAAAGAATGACATACTCCAAACAACCAAAAAAAAAAGTATAAAGAGGAGGAGAAGAAAAGACAGTGTCTTGACAGGATTTGGAAGCATGTGCAATTACTATGGAGCTGTGCCTATGGAAAACGTACCCAGTGATTTTCAAAACCTAAATTTTGGAGGCCAGCTTTATCTAATTACCCAGGCCCCTATGCTGTGAGGAGCACGCTGTGTCCTGGCGGCAGAGCCCGCGTGAACACGTGCACACGATGTGCGGGCACAGCAGGCCTCCCTGTTGTCAGAGGAGTTCATCTCACATAACAAGACCAGCAAAACTCACTCTAAACACACGCACGCTAGTTTGCACAAGAAACTAGCTCTAAGAACAGACTTAGAAAAAAAAAATTGGTAGCTGTGTATGAGAGTTCATATCAAGAATTAAGTGTCTAACTATTAAAAACAGTAAAGCTTTCAGAATGCTCTCTGGGTGTGGCTGTCTGGGGCGGGGAGGCGCAGGGGAGTGGGCTACTGGAGGATGTATCGCAACCTGCTGGCTCAGAGGACGATGGCGGGTTGGCTTTGCTCAAACTGTACTGAAGGAAATCCTCCCACATCTTTTCTCCAGTCCCGTTTCTTATATTTCCCTCGCCACAGCCTCTTTTTCACTGTTTAAACGTAATAAAGCTATCCTATTCTGTTTCCCTTACATGTAAACAAACATCTTCCTGTTGTCCCTAGAATACAATGGAACATTTGGCAACTTGCTCTTACAGTGGGGCTCCCTCCGAGCCATTTTCATCCCCACTGCTGTAAAAGGAGCGGTTTAGTGTTCTCATAGGGGAGCAAGGTGAGTTCTATGGTTTAGTTGCAATTGTACGCTTTACTACACATTAAATATAACTTAGGTCCTATAATATGCATTATTTGGGAATATTACAGAAAAATTCACCACAGCAAAACCATGAAATACTTGAACATAACTTAATGCTTGGAGTAGCGTAATTGTTTACATTCAAAACTGTAGCAAACCGAGATGTTACAACTTTAAAATCACAAAAAATGCGAATCAAATACCTGAGCAGTCGTGGTTATACATAATGCATTTCTATTGAAAGCATATGACCAGTATCTGTTTTCAAACTGATATGGGGGAGTTTACGTTTGTCACTTTTATTAACATTAGTAACATTTTTCAAAGTAAATCCACCATCCTTGCTGTATGCTGGAAAATAGAACGCTGTTTACCCAACTTATCGATGTGGGGTTTACTAACTTTATACATACCTAAGGGTATTTTATTTCTCTTATTGTCTCTTCCATGGTAGTAGAGTTAGGAGAGCCTTATAGAATATTCCTAGTCACCATTCTAAGTACATCTTTATCATTTTTGAAGGACAAAACCAACCCTTCTCAGCTCATTATAAATCATTTTCTAATTTTAAAGAGGACTGACTTTTTATTTTTATGGAGAAGTCTTTAAAGAGCCGTCTCCCTCTAACCTTGAAGCAAGCCAGCATGTGAACTTGATATTGGCTTATGTAATATTGAGAGAAAGACAAGACACCTGTACATCTCTGGGGTCCCTTGCTATCTCATTGGTGTCTCAGGGAGGCTTTTCATGCCTCTGAAATGGTTACTGTAAATTGTGTTTTGTTTTTTTTAAATCAAAATAGTTCTCTTTTTCTTGAAGGATATCATGAAATGAAAATGAATGAAAAAAATCCTTAACTTTTCAAGGAAACTGAAAATGCCTTCCTATGTTTTTCTTGCTCTCTTTGTGAAAACTATAGATCTGCACATCTATACATAATTTATAGAACAAGTAACATCCAGTGGAAAACTAATATGAACAGAAGCAGCATCAATTTTTTTCCTTTAAGCTGTGAAAAAAAATTGTCATTTGATTTTTTTCTTAACAATTAGGAAATTTAAATTAAAGAACTTTAAAGGAAAACTTTTCAATGCAAATGAAGCCAGTTATAAAATGTGGATCATTTGTTCAGTACTGGAACAGGAGGCTGCAGCCACGGCACGTTGTCGGGGGGGATACTGGGTTATCAGCCCTCCCTTTACCTATGACTCCTGTGATGAGAAAAGCCAAGAAGTAGGCAAGAGGGTGTATTAACAGTTCACCATATGACCAGGAAGCTTCTTTTAATGGCAACAGGGAGCTCTTTCTGCTCTAACGTTCGGCCTTTTGTGACAATAATATCTGTATGTAGGTAAATGAGAGCTTTAACTTCTTAAAGGGCTGAAATCTCTACTAGGAAATCTTCACTGATAAAATTGAAACCTCCCCCAATCTTTCCTGATTCTCCATTCTGGTTTTTTTTAATACTCTTCAGTGTTTTCCTTTATGTTTTCCCCGCCTTTTAAAATAACACAGTGAAGGCAGGTGACTGGAGGAGGGTATAGGCTGGGCCAGATGGCTCATTCCTGTAATCCTAGCACTTTGGGAGTCCGAGGTGGGAGGATCACTTGAGGCCAGGAGTTCTAGACCAGCCTGGGCAACATAGCAAGACTCTCATCTCTACAAAAAATAGAAAAATTAGCCAGGTGTGGTGGTGTGCACCTGTAGTCCCAGCTACTCAGGAGGCGGAGGCCAGAGGATCCCTTGAGCCTAGGAATTGGAGGTTGCGGTGAGCTGTGATCACACCACTGCACTCCAGTCTGGGTAACAAAGCGAGACCCTCTGTCACAAACACACACACAAAAATAGGGGAGGGTTTAATAAATTCAATTCAAAGAACATATTGAATATTAAGAAATAAAACATGCCAGTACAAACCCCCATGAAGGCATTCTGAATGTCTGATGACAACCATACCGTTGGAGCTCGCAGAGGGGTGGGGCTGGCTCTGGAAGGTTCTAGAACGGGTGCCGTACTGCCCTGAGAACTGCCCGCTTTGGGGCGGTAGCTCATTCCACGCACTACGTGTAGACGGGTGGAGGCTCGGTGGGGCCTCAGTGGACGAGTTCAGACGCGGGGGCCAGACTAAGTCCACGTCCTGGGGCTCTTCTTTTAATTTCTCTCCTTCTTTACCAACTCGCTGATATATCCTCCCAGCACTGTCATTCAGCAATCTTCTCATTCCTGTAATTTGTTTTTTAATTTCCATGCTTTCATCTCCTAATGGAAAAAGGGCCAGAATTAGCACTGAAATTAGCAAAAGAGAAAAATAGTCCACTACTTAAAAAAAGAGAAAGGCAAAAAAGAAAAAAAAAATTAAAAAGTCCACCCTTCTCTGGAAATGGGAAAGATTACTGATTCTATAAACATAAATAATCCATAAAAATCAAAGCAGGAAAACTGGCTATGGGGTGTGAAGAAACCAATCACATTCCCAGCACATGTCATTGTAATCTCTTTCTGGTCAAGTTCTTTTATGATAAAAGAAGTTTCCTCAGTGTGTGTCAACAGGGATAAACTTTAAATTCCCTCTTTGGAAGTATTTTCTGGGTGAGGATGTCATAAGAAAACAGGCTGAGCTGGACGACCAGGGATGGGACTGGGACGCTGAACTCTGCTCTGATCTGCCACGGCCACCCCCTCGTCACGGAAACCCAGGCCAGGCAGGCTGGGCTTGTCAGCCTCAGCAGCAGGGGTGAAGACAAGGAAGAATGCGTGGGATTCGCTGGGACTCGGGGCGTTTTGGGAATGGGCTGTGTGGCATGCCAGCAGGATGGCGCACTGCTAGAGGAGATACCACCTTCACAAAGGATGACAGAGGAGACAGAGATGTACCAAGTATCAGTGTGGCAAGCAAGGACGGCTTTGTCTTTCTAGTGCTCTGACTCAATCGTATCAGCCTGGTGATATCAAGGGGTCCCTGCCCACTCCAGGTGACTGGCGGCATGAGCACCAGAGGGGCAGAAGTGCAGCCTCCCTGCCTGTCTCCTCCCAGGCCAAACCCCCCACCCTGGACCCGCCCACGCCAAACCCACTGCCACCTCCTCTGCAGCGTAACTACGCAGCCACATGCAAGAGGAAAGAGACTTTCTCAATCCCACCTCACCTACATTGACTTCTTTTTTAAGATTCTTTTTCCCTCAGGGGATTTTTTTTAAACCAAAGTATTTCTATCCTGCACTAGGGGTATTTAATAAATATTACTTAAAGATGACTATAAAATTGTGCAGATATAAAATATTTTCTATTAACAATATTAGAGGATGTTGATACATATTAGGAGCTATTTCAAACATACTCTCTTAACTGTGTATCAGCCAGTATCTTCTCAAAGATCAAGAGAAGTGGATTTTTTTCCTCTAGCCCAGGCATTAAAATAAAAGTCTTAGGCCATGGTATATAGACACACTCATGCAGTCACTCTACTAAATGCCTGAAATTTAGACTATGAGAAACAGAGAAGGCCAACAGAAAGTATCTGTTAGGAAAAATACAGCTCCTACAAATGAATATGGCACATTTAATATAATGATGTTTTAATGCACTTAAGATCATAATGACCCAGATTTCTATGTAGAACTGGTAATTGCACAATAACCTAGGTATTTTGTGTTATCTAGATATTTAGCTTATTAATTACATACATATTACAATACTAAATGGGGAAATTTATATACTATTTTGAGATAAGTATCTTCAATTTTTAAAAATGCTAATAAAAATATTAATTCAGTCTTTAATATTGAACATGGGTGAAACACAGAAATAACACAGATTTCCACATTTATAATACTGCTATGTGTTGACATATGCTCGAGAGAAGCATTTTAATTTGCAATAAAAGTACTTCTACTTTAAACACCTGTGAAAATTACAATATAGAAACAATAAATCATATTCCAGAGTTTATGAGAATGAATGACCAAGCGTGATTCAGATAACGCAGAGTCGGCACAATTTACAACTTCCTCAAGGTGTGTGAGGAATGGGGTGTGTCTGGAAGAGCTCCCAGAGGAACTGAGAAAGATAAACCCATGGCGAAATGTGTTGTTGAATTTCAGCATCCAGACATGTAACTTTCCCAGCTAGTTAACAGCACAATTCCAGCAAGAGGAAGCATCGGTCCTGTGCCATTTCCACCCTTGACCCTCTCGATGAGGCTGGTCAGGCTACACCAAAGTCTGCACACAGACTGGTCTCCACTGGCACAGGCTGGTGGCCGCCCCCCTCCAGGCTCCCTGGAAAGAGCCGCCACAGCCAGGCCACGCGGGAGGAGGCACCCTGCTGGTTCCTGAGTCAGCACCAACTTTGTTCTCCACCTAAGCTGGGCACATCCCAGGAAAAGGGATGCGTTTCTTGTCAAAGGTTCCACTTCTGCTCTGCAGATAGAATTCTACGCTAAAGTGCTATCATCAGGAAAAGGAAAAAGTCACAAGGATTCTGGACCCTTCTAAGGGCAACTCTGCTTTGTCATGACCTCGGTTTCAGAGTTCTAGAACTTAGGTCTACAAACATTAGAAGATTGAAAATATTACACAAATTGAACTTTGCATAACTTTGCATTTTCCAGTTGACAACCAGAATCCTACGCTGCAGGTGGAGAGGAGGAAAGAAGGTGACAGGTGTAAGGCAGGTTCTGGGGCAGGGCTGCCCCACGATGTTCAGGAGCATGTCTCCCACAGGCAAAACAAAACAAAACAACGGAACAGCAACAACAACACTGGGACCTGAGGGGCAAAGGAGGAAGAAACAGCGCTGAGAAGGAAGATGGCAGAAGGCCGGGGCAGGTCTGACCTCAGGTGGAAGAGCGCTCACGGCCGACCTCACTGCGGGGCATTTTAAAGCACAGAAAATATGAAACTGCAATCACTGCACAAGTCTGCTCAGAGAGGAAGGGTGGGAGAAGGTGGGGAGGTTTCTCAGGAGCAGTCTCCGGGTTTACTGAGCGGAGATTCCCTCACCGCCAGCGGCAGGAGCAGCGAGGGGCCCGCCCAAGGTGCTGCCTCGATGGAGGAGGTGCTTGGGCTCCATTCCATGGAGGACACAGGCTCCCTTGCTCATCTGGGACAGGAGAGGCAGAGGAGCAGAAAGGAGACCTGAGGCCTCCAAGAGCGGAGTCAGCTACACAGACAACAGAGGCCCCGACTGCAGTTGTGGGCACGGTGCAGGGATGGCTAAGCGGGGACCCCAGAGGCTGGGACTCACTTGCTACTGGACGTTAGGTAAGTCACTGGATACCTCAGACTTCAGTTTCCTGAACTGCACAGGGGGCGGGGTGGAGGAACCTGTGCCTGAAGGCCGCATGTGGCCCTGCAGATCCCCAAGTGTGGGCCCTCGACCAAATCCAAACTTCACAGAACGAATCCCTTTATTATTATACAAAGATTTGTAAAATTTGGATTCAGTCAAGAGGCCCCACTCAAGGATCCAGAAGACCATATGTGGCCCCAAGGCTGTGGGTTCCCCACCCCGTCAGGCTGCTTCTGTCACAGTGGAGCCCACGTTTCGCGATTTTAACAGAAACAGTGGGAAGTATGGGAATGACACTGGGAGCATTAGCTGACTTCTATTTGTCTGTCCAGTTCTAATTAGTCAATGTCTTCTCCAGGAAGACACCAGGAAAAGGAAGCTCTTGGGAGCAATTCCTGATTTCTTTCTAAGCCTATGTATGTCTTCACTTACATGCAAATTCAAGAGGCTGAATCTTTTTAGGAAAAACAAATATAAAGAAATCTTACTAAAATGGGTCCATGCCATGCAACTGCCTTATTGGTAAAATACACTGAACTGAAACCTTTTTGAAAGTTTAGTAGCTATACTTCTTGGACAAGGTCTAAAGAAGATTTCAGACTGAATTCTCCCCCTCACTGAATTTCACGGCTCTACTAGATTGTTTTCATTTACATAAAACATTTATGTGATACACAGTCTCGCAGGAGCTGATAAATATGAGGGTGACACAGAAGTCACCATGCAGGGTCTCCTTTAACTCGGCCAGGAGAGAAGGACGCACTTCACAGAACATGACGGTGTTAATCAGGATAAAAGAAAAAAGACGACAACATACACACACCTAGAGAGAGTGCAGTGAATTAATTTCACGTTGTCTTGGCATCCACTTTAACTATAAGCTGGACTTTTGCATTCCAGAAGCAGGGCTCGGCCAGCCTTGACACAGTCTCCAGTTCTACACTCCCAGCCCCAGCTCCCCAGTGTGGTCGATCCAGACATCTGCTTTACACAACCGCTCCCTGGGGACCACTTCCCTATGGGACAGCCTATGTGACTGGCCCGCTGGCTCTCACACCCCGAGTGGGCTGCACACATACGCCACAGTGACCACCTCTTGGTCACCATGTGGTCTCCTGGATCTTGCACCTGCTTGCTTTAAAACTCCCCGCAAGGAAACCTGTTTGGATAACACCCTGGACCCAATGATGGCACGAGCCCTCAGGTCCCTCTTCTTCTCTCCCTGCCTGTGCTCTCTGACCTGTGTGTGTGGCCTCCAGGTGTCCATGGACGCCCCACGGTCTGTAAGTACTCGAAACTCTAAACCTTTCACACTGTGGTTGTGTCATTGGCGCCCATAATCCAAAAGGCCACCCTGGAGGGTCCCCTGCACGTGGATCCCTGCCTGAGCTCTTTTGTCCTGGCCCCCAGGGGCTGCTAAGGGCAGTAGTTACCAGCTAAGTTAGTAATGAAGCTCCAAGAGTTTCATTCAAAACAGAGCAAATATCGTATGTCCATCTATTAATATGTATGCCTTCTAGTTACGAAAACTCATGAAGAACAGTCACCCTATCTGTGCCCTACAAATGAACTAGTGCTGATGTACAGTAGGCATTCCATAATCCTTTTAGTAATTGAAAGAAATGGCTTATCAGAAACCGAATGAAGTCCAGTAGAATTAAATGCAACACTAAACAAACAATATAATAGGAAAGAGTGAAAAGGTACCAGAAATAAATTATTCAACAACCATTTATCAAGCACTTCGTAAGCCTCAGAGATACAACGATCACTGGGTACAAACTGAAAGGTCCCCTCCCACCTCGCAAATCTCTCAACATCTTTTTACCAAATCCCTTTATATGATTTGTTGCTCTGAAAACTGGTCCTGATTTTCCCCAGCTTATTAACCCCTACCTCTTTTAACCATGTGCCCAGAACTCCCGTTAGCAAATCGCCCCACTGTTTCTCCTTCCTGGTCCTGGCTAGAG